ACTGCCTTTATAATTATTCAAAGTGTGTGTATACATTTTGGAGGGTACCCTATATATATATGTAATATGTATACTTTAAGTTGCAGTATTTAAAAATCCCTTTAGAATCTAAAGTTTAGATAATGTCACAAACTATTCAAATGAATTAATGTCTTTCCAGCAGCTGTTCTTCCATTTTCCCTGGCAGCATCAGGTGGCGGGGGCAGGCAGTAACCAAATCTATTAGCGTTACGTGTGACTCTGAGAGATCACTGATGACCTTACTGAAGTAGTTGGGTCTGATACTCTGAGCAGTGATCAAATAGGGAAGCCATGTAGCAGGCTGCACATACCACACTCCCACCAAGCTTCATTTAGTGTATGGCTTGACATTTTGTTGGGATAACAACTTGCAGGAAAGGTGAACAGTTCTAGAGGAAAAGTGTTGGGTTGAACAGATCTAGATTCAAATTCTAGCCCATCACAACTCCTCAGAGCTTTGTTCACTCATCTGTAAAGAAAATACAAATACCAATTTCACAGGGTTGTTTGAGGATTAAAAGGATGTAAATGATCTAGTTAGCATAAAAATAGAAGCTCAAGAAATGTCAGTTCCCTTTCTCTCATTGGCTTGGGTCACTTTGGCCTTATTAAATTTTCACTTCATTTTCAGTTATGTCAGTGGTTGGCAAACTCATTAGTCAACAGAGCCAAATATCAATAGTACAACGATTGAAATTTCTTTTGAGAGCCAGATTTTTTAAACTTAAACTATATAGGTAGGTACATTGTTATTAACTTAATTAGGGTACTCCTAAGGCTTAGGAAGAGCCACACTGAAGGGGCCAAAGAGCCACATGTGGCTTGCGAGCCGCAGTTTGCCGACCACGGAGTTATGTCATTCTTCGATTCTTTAGTTAATGAGATGCAATTGATAGTATTGTGTTCTGTATTGTTAATAGAAGGCCTGAGTATAGAGTTTCCCTGGTGCTGCTTGGTCCATTGCACAGACATTCTACAAGGTCATGCATAGTCTGTGTTATTGTGCGAGCATACAATAAACAATGGGTTAACATTTTTGTCATTTTTTATGTGTTTTGTGTTGTTTTGTTTTTGCTCTGGGGTGTAGTTGTGTTGATGATCTAAAGATAATCTTATTAATCTTATTAGAATTTTGTAAATTTTAAAAAAAGAAGCCTTGCCCTGGCCAGTAGCTCAATGGTTAGAGCACTGGCCCCTTGCACTGAAGGGTCATGGGACAGATCGGGGCCAGGCCAACTGCGGGGAGGGGCCACAGGAGGTTGGCCACCGGCCCCACCCCCGATAAGGGCTGGGCTGGCGTTGGGGCAAGAGGGGCTGCAGGAGGTTGGTTGGCTGGCCTTGCCCCCAATCGGGGTGGGGGTGCCAATCAGGGGTGGGGCCACAGGAGGTTGGCAAGCTAGGGGGAGGGGCCGAGGGAGGTTGGCTGTGGGAACGCACTGACCACCAGGGGGCAGCTCCTGCGTCGAGCATCTGCCCCCTGGTGGTCAGTGCACGTTATAGCAACCGGTCAACTGGTCGTTCAGTTGTTCAGTCATTTAGTTGCTTAGGCTTTTATATATATAGATGGTTATTTTCTGTGCTAAGAGGGAGTAATCTTTTGCTTTATATTTTATGCTTTTCTTAACTGTTTAACTTTTAAAAATAAGTACATATCTTTAAAAAAATCAAAGTTGTTATTCTTTTGAAAGATAAAATCATTGATTTCCCACTAATCCAGCTTCTGGTTAAAAGTTAAAAAGTTACATTTTTAAGCAACTAAATATTAAGAGGAAACAAGTATAAATATTCTAATTGCCCAGGTGAACCAGCAAAATTTAAGATGCAATGCATCAAAACCAGAAATCACTCAAAGTAGGCAAGCAAAGAAAAGAAATAAACATTTAGCTATATTGAAATCATAAGACTGATTTGCTAAGGCCATTTCCTGATAATGAAACAATTCTATAAAACATTTATTTATTACATTTGGTTACCAGAGATCCTGGGGAGAAAAACCAGCCTAAATAAACAAACAAAAGGCCCCAGGGGCCCAAGATTGTTTCTCTAGCTAGTTTTTGTGTCACAAAAGGTGCCCTGGTTAGTGTTTAGTCTCAGTGTTTTACAGCAAACTGAGAGGGGTTGCATAATATAAGAAACTTGTTACTGATCATTAGAGTGAACCTTTGGCCAGAAAATGGACAGAAAGTAGACATACTTACTACAAACAACATCTGCCAGTCACCAAATGCAAAGTACTGTTGGTTACATCTTTAGATGACAGCTAAAAATACAGAGAATCATTCTCTTCCCATGCAGAATATATTCTGTGACTTAAAAACGAACAGCAGACAATACTTGGCAGAAGGAAAATTCACTTAGCAAATTCACTAATTTAAGGTACTTATTTATAAGGTGACTAGAGGCCCGGTGCACAAATTCGTGCACAGGTGGGGTCCAGCTGGGGGGAGGGGCCAAGGGCAGTTGGCCAGCCAGCCCTGCCCCCTGGTCAAACTCCCAGTCTAGGGGATAATTTGCATATTAGCCTTTTATGATATAGGATAGAAGAAAGATTAATGCCTCAATTGCTTAAAGTGATAAAGGTTGTGCAATAAACTCATGACGTATGAAAATCAACTTAAAACACTAATGACATAAATCCAGGGAGGCCTATATTTCTTTACGTGAAAAGAAATATGAAGTGTTGGTGAGAATGTGGAGAAATGGGAACCTTTATACACTTCTAGTGGGAGTATGAATTGGTACAACCACTTTGGAAAAGTGTTTGGCAGCATCTCCTAAAGCTGAATATACACATACCCTATTACCCAGCCATTCTACTTGTAGGTATATACTTAACAGAAATGCATCTATATGTACAGCAAAAGATGTATTTGAGAATGTTTGTAGCAGCACTTTTTCTAATAGCCTCAAAATGTAAATGACCCAAAATCCCATCAACAGTAGAATGGGTAAATTATAGAATGATCACACAGTGGAATACTGGACAGCAATGAAGATGAACGAGCTACAACTCTATACAACAATGTGAATGACTCTCATAAACATAATATTGATCAAGGCAAGCCAGGCACAATGTAGTGTATACTTGTATGAGTCCATTTGTATGAATTTCAAATACAGGCAAAACAAATCTATGAAGTTAGAAGTCAGGATAGTGGTTATCCTTGGGATTAACATTGTGTAAAAGGCATGAGGGGGATTTCTGGAGGCTGGTGATGTTCTCTTCCTTGCTCTGCATGTCGGTTAGATGAGTCGCATCCAAACCTGTAGAGAATTTTTATAAGAGTTTATTTGAGCCAAACTGAAAACATAGGCCGGACACAAGATCTCAAATGCTCCAGAAAATAATAGTTTGTAGCTTCTTTTCTGCATTGAAGAGGGAAAGTACATGGAGGTGAGAAAGCAAGGTGGGGATTTGGTTACAAGATAGTTTACTAGATTATGTATTCTCTTGAAGGTTAACACCCCCTTGAGGGGTATTACTTCTGACATCTCAAAGGTGTGTTAACCTAGATCAGGGGTCCTCAAACTACGTCCTGCAGGCCACAAGCAAATACAAATATTGTATTTGTTCCCGTTTTGTTTTTTTTTACTTCAAAATAAGATATGTGCAGTGTGCATAGGAATTTGTTCATAGTTTTTTTTAAAACTATAGTCCGGCCCTCCAACGGTCTGAGGGACAGTGAACTGGCCCCCTGTTTAAAAAGTTTGAGAACCCCTGACCTAGATGTACAAGAACAATGGACAGGACTGGCTTAAAATTGTTCACTACAGAAGTTATAGGTCTAGGGCATGACTACCCACCGTGACCTGCCCAGTTGGGAATTTATGAACAGATCACCCATAGAACCCCCTTCCCTTTTTTAAATCCATGGATTTGTGTGTATAATTTGTGAAAATTCAATAAGTTGTATACCTAAGATGCATGTACTATTATGTTTATTTGTTTTACTTCAATAAAAAGTGGGTAATACAATCACCTCCATGAATCAGGCTGAAAAAAGGGTTTTCACCAGAATATTGAGATTTCACAGAGTTTTCAAACTCAGAGGCAAGGCAGGTAATGCAAATAAGTAAAGCCAGATGCAATACCATGGGGTCTGGTGTTGGGAGCTAGGTAGAAATTCAAATAATCAGACCCCAACCCAGATCTACTGAATCAGAAACTCTGGGAATGGAACCAGTAATCTGAGTTTTAACAAGCCCTCCAGTTTTAACAAGCTTTCTTCTGATGCATGGTCATGTATGAGAATCACTCACCTAGATGTATTCTAAATCAAAAAAGTTTTTAAAAAATCATGTGAGCTTTAAAAAATCCTCTGGCAAGATTTGGCCACAGGTCACTAATTTGTAACTCGTGATGAGAATAAACTCAAAGGGCAAAAACTTAAATTATTTGTATAATTATACCAATTCTGTATTTCCTTTTTCTAAAAAATAATGATAATAATAATATGTGGGAATGCTCTTGCCTCAGTTTTATCCTCCCTAGAATTCAGGTATATTTAGGCAGGCCTGGGGCCTGGTGGGGGTCAGCCTTCTGGAATTCTATTTATAAAACAACTCTAGCAACCTACAGGAAAGAACTAATCCCAATGGAAGAAAGAATCAAAGGTACAGAGGTTGCTTTAGAGCAGTAGATGAAGTTGAACATGTCTGAGTACATCATGGTGTCTGCCACTCAGATTGTTTGCAGTTCAGCCTGCAGACTCATTCATTCTTTCAACAAATAGCTTTTGAGCACCAACCTAGTCTGTCCCCAAGCCCTGTGACCCCCAGGGTGGCTGTATATAACACTTAGTAAAAGCTAAAGGAATTTTTTTTCCTGTTTTGTTTTGTTTTTGTTTTGCAAATCTTCTTAGGTCATGGAGAATGCAGCTTTATCTGTGACATGAGTCTTGGTGCCAGGGGCAGCAGTGCTGGTGCCAGGACTCTCAACATCTCTGATTCCCTTGAAGTTGGACTTTGGGCCCTGGAGGCCTCCTTGCACACATCAGCAGCTGCAACAGTGGTAGCATTGCCTTTGGTGGGCTGTGGTGACCTGGCTTGGAACATTGGCAGTAGCTGCTTACATCAGGCACGGAGGATTGTAATTTGGCAGCTGGCAGAACTGTGCTTGGAGCACACCTGAGACATCCCGGAGCACCCTGACCTATTGGAAGTGGGGGATGAACCTCCAGCAGAGGTAGGGAAATGTTATTTTGGAGCTTTGGTTGTTACTCTATGTAACATATGTTACATATAGAAGAATACCGAGTCCTTAAGGGAATCTATGACTTGGTTTTGGTCTTGGCAACATTTAAAGAAATTACATGTTGCTTCTTGTGATAAGGTTGAGGTAATGTGAGTGCAACGAACATGGTAGACTCAAAGATTAAATCTCAACATTTGGTATTCTTTTTTTAAATAAAAAAGAAATCCAGCAAGATTATTATAGGTTCTGGGACATGAGGTTTTAAAAAAAATCTGAGCACATATTCCTAATTTTTTTTCCTCTTTCAAAACATCCCTACACAATGAAACAACCTGTAAAATGAAACAATATGTTGACGAGCTGTTCTTTGGCCCTGGCAGGCAGCTTATTGCGTATTGAAAAGGAAAAAGAACTTTGGAAACAGCCACTCCTTTTCTGACAGAATTGTGAGAGATTGATGCCCTTTCCTTCATTTCTGCAGTGCCTATCTGCTGCAGATTTTCAGATACTTCCTGAAATCCTAAATTGAATTCTATTAAAAACATACTTGTTGTTCTTTCCCAAAACATGCTTGGGAATTTGAAGACCACAAATCTCTGTAAGACAAGGAATGCGCCTGAGTAACCAGCATTTCACTGTAAGAGTCTAGTTGCTTTACTGCACTTAACTCAGTGTTTTCTGTACCCAATGAGCAAGGTGTGTGGTATGTCAATATTCCAACTAGATAGCAACACCTTGCAGATTTCCGATTTTATGGTGGAGGCATTTTTTTTGATTACTGTTTATTGAAAACCAACTTTTTAAGCCCAGGCAAAGGGAAAGAATGACTTTGTTTTGACACTTTAGTTCTAACCAACCCAGCCTATCCACAGTGGAATGTGGGTTGTGGCGTGGGGGCAGAGATCAGGAGATTTGAGTTCCATCCAGCCCTGTTTTCATGGATAAGTCAATTCCCACTATGGGGCTCAGTTTCACTATTGGTAAAATTGGAGGTGGGGCAAATTGGCCCAAAGTTCTGTAATTAGTCCAGAGTTCTGAGGGGAGAGTTCTGAAATTTTTTTTTATTTGACTTTTTAATTTGATTTTTAGAAAGAAAGGAAAGGAGGGGGGGGGGAGAGAGAGAGAGAGAGAGCAATGGTGAGAGAGAATCATTAAACATCAATGGGCTGCTTCGTACATGCCCCCTACAGGTAATCAAGCCCACAACCTGGGCATGTGCCCTGACCAGGAATCTTTTGTGTGTGTGTGTGTGTGTGTGTGTGTGTGTGTGTGCGCGCGCGCGTGTGCAAGGAACGACGACCAACCAACTGAGTCACACTGGCCAGGATGAGTTCTGAATTCTTTAACCTTTAGATTATGAGAACGCTCCCTGAAAGATTCTAATGATTGATTACATATTTGAAAGAAAAATCACTTTGAGAGGACTCTCAGAGTCTATTGATATTATAGATTTCTTCTTTATAGAGAATTGGGTACAAGTGACTGATGTTGTTACCAGTCAATCAGAAGTTTGTTTCTATATTAAATTAATAGAATTTAGTCTCTTGCAACATAAGTTAATAACAAGAATATCAAACATTTACTGAATTATGTTTTTACTCCTTCAGACTCTCGCCTGTCCTATTTATACACCCTCCCCCCAAACCCTTTTTACACATGGTCTTATACTTGGGTTATCAAATTAATCGCAAGTATGGTTCTTCTCACATTACTTTCCTGTCAAAAGCCTTAATAACTCTGTTTACCACAATATAAAATATAAGCTCCTCATGGCATACAAGGTCCTGTGCCATCTGACCCACCCAGCTTCCCATCCTTGTGTCTCGGAAATGTTCATATTCTGGCTTTGTGCCTTTGTCCTGCTGGTTCTTGCTTCCTATTTCCACCTGTTCAGATTCTACCTATTTTTAAAGTTTAAGGCCAGGATTCTGCTCCCAGCTATTCTTGGTCTCTCTCAGGTGCAGGCAATCTATCTTTTATTCTGAACTTCTGTGGCAACTTAGCTTCATATTTCTCATAGCAGTTGTTACTTTCTACTCTATATTTTAGATATTTAGGTTCGTATCTTATATTCCTTACTTAGATAATCAATTTCATGAAGTCAGAAGCAACATCTGTTCTATATTGCTATTCTGCAAAGTACCTGGCACATAGTAGTTCCTCCACAAATGTTTGTTCAATGGATAAATGATATTGTAGTTACCATGGAAATCTGAACTTATCCCAACGCTTTCAACAAAATTAGAACCACTCACAGGGAATTTTTTAAATTGAGAAATTTCTCCATTTACCATCTCTCATCTATTTATCTACCTATCTATCTATCTGTCTATCTATCTATCTATATCAGCTTATATCTGATTTTATTAAGGAAAATTTGGAGAAAAAAGAAAAATGTGAAAGATATAAAAACTACAGATTTTGCAAGTAATTGGTATCCAGTTCCCTTCCTTCAAGCCTTGTGCGGTAGTCAGCTTTCAAAAGCTGTCGTTGTGATGTAGTCAGCTTTCATGATTTAGATCCACATGAGTTTGTGTACTGTGATGCTCAAATATTTGTTAAAGCTTATGTAACTCTATGAGAAAGATCAACACTAACTCTGTAGGTGCTGCATACAAGTTTTGATCCAGTGAGATGAAGCACTGCTATATGTGGGGCACTGAGAAAAGTCATGGCCTTGTTTTTGGGGGGTTGATGGGACCAAGAGTCCATCAACTCAATGGAACCATTAAAAGAATGAATTACTGATACATGCTACAATGTGGATGAACCTTGAGAACATTAGAAGAAGTAAAAGAAGCCAGGTTCAAAAGGCCACATATTATACTAGAGGCCTGGTGCATGGGATTCGTGCACTGGTGGGGGGCATGGCCTGCGGGGATCCGCCCGCTGTGTGAGTGCAGCTCATACAGGTCAGCTCTGAGTGGCTGCTCCCTGGTCTGGCATCTTCTGTGGAGCTGGAGCACTCACCTCTCCAGGGGACCTGGTCAGGGCCGGGCCCAGGGACAATAGCACTGAGAGGCGGCGGAGTAGGCCTCAGTCCTGCGGTGGCCACAAACCCGCCTCCCAGACTCTGGGGTCAGCTCTGCGAGCCCAGCGGTGGCTCTGCGCAGCCTGTGGGCATCCGGAGGAGGCAGCAGGGAGCAAGGAGGAGGAGCCTGGGGCAAGGAGGCAATGATCGCAGCCTGGGTTCCTGCCCGTTGGCCCGGGGTTCACAGCGGGAGCAGCCGCTCATCCTGGTCAGCCGAGTGGTGCTCCCACTGTGGTAGCACACTGACCACCAAGGCACAGCTCCTACGTTGAGTGTCTGCCCCCTGGTGGTCAGTGCACATCATAGCGACTGGTCGACCAGTTGTTCTGGTAGTTCTGGTCTTTCTGTTGTTTGGTCGCTGGGCTTTTACTATACAGGATGATTCCATTTATATGAAACTTTCAGAATAGGTAAATCCATAGAGACAGAAAGTAGATTCTTGGTTGGCAGCTGCTGGGGGTAGGGAGTAGGGAATGAAATGAGAGTGACTGCTAAAAGATGTGTGGTTTCTTTTTGAAGTAATTAGAAGAGAGATTGTTCCACAAGGTGACCTCTGTCTTTCCCACAAGCTGAACCTGGGCCAGAACGGAAGTTGCTCTCCACAAACCCCTCCTAGAGATTGTCTGATCATAATTGACTCCTGTAATGTGCTGGTTCCTGGAACAGCTGGTTGTTTGTCCTGACCTGGTCAGCATGTAAGGTAATTTCTGTGTCTGGTAGCATTCACGTACTAGGACCCGTGACATTGCCCCACTTTACCCTATATACTAGTAATTCTCTGGTGCCTGCCAAGTGGTGCCAGGATCCACTTCATCTTTCAGCCACCCAAGATATGCCTCACATGTAAGTTTCCCTTAGGAAACACTACTAATTACCAGACTGGAGTGGCCAATCTCTTCCTTCAGTCTTTCCCTGCCCTCCACTTATGGAGTCTTTCCCTGCCCAGCATTTTCAATGTTGGGGCTTTTCCTTGGGTCTTGTGTATACTAACAGGTGATGAAAATGTTTGGACTTCATTAGAGGTTATAGTTGCACAACTTTGTGAATATACTAAAAACCATTAAATTGCACACTTTAGAGGGGTGAATATTATGGTAAGTGAATAAAAAAATACCAATAGAAGATTCTGTACAAGGAGGTTTTCCAGAGGTTTTGTCCGGCCAGTACTGAAGAGTAAAAAGATGGTCGTCATTGAGACTTCAATACACTTGCTCTTAATGGTCACTGTGTTTTATGATAGTTGAGCAGAGATCTGCCAAATGCTTCTTCCCCCCTTGTATGGGCTGAAAGTAAAAGTCCATAGCTGCTGTGTTCCAGTGAAATAAAACCTTTATTTGTGTGTTGCCTTATAATTTTTTAAGTACTTTCATCTTCATTAATTCATCTGAGTCTTATGTTTTATTCTAAACATATTTATATTTTATACCTATTTATTTATAACCATTCATCCATCATGAAAATGGAAAAATTCTATTTCTTATAGATGCAGTATATTTCTATTAGATTTCTTTTTTTTTAATATATTTTATTGATTTTTTACAGAGAGGAAGGGAGAGAGATAGAGAGCTAGAAACATTGATGAGAGAGAAACATCAATCAGTCGCCTCCTGCACATCTCCTACTGGGGATGTGCCCGCAACCAAGGTACATGCCCTTGACTGGAATCGAACCCGGGACCTTTCAGTCCACAGGCCGACGCTCTATCCACTGAGCCAAACCGGTTTCGGCTCTATTAGATTTCTTTGCTGATCCTTTCTTTGCTTCATTCCCCCCATACTAATCTATTGTACCCATGTATGTCCACTTTTCCTGACTTCATGTTTCTGCTTTTCGAGCCTTATTTTTCAAGATGGTGATTTGTTCTTCATCTTTTCCTCTTCTTCTGATTTATATCCATAAATTTTTTTCTTTGAAATCATTTTGGCTAGATGACTCCAAAAATATTTAATTATAACCTATG